TACATTATTTCAGGATGACTATTTACTTGTAAAACACCCTTTTGGGGCTGCTAAATCCTGTCTTTTGCCTATTTTACCTCATTATCAGTAGGGAAGAAAAAATGGAATTCTACTAGCTTTTTGCTATTCTGGTAGAAGAAATGGTCATAAAAGTTAAAACTACTAAGAAAAGCCATATAAGTATATAAAACAAAAAAGGAATATATGTAATTTAAATTTTATCAGCAAAAATGTAAACTCAAATGTTTACAAACTTCATTTGCATTACCAATCCTTATTTATTAATAGCCAATATTTCCATTTCTTTAATTTTTAGAAAAGAGAGATATGTTTCAGTCTGCACTAAAACACCAAAATAATTTTCTCATTTCATAATAAATGCTTCCAGAGCCTTTATTACGTTGTTGCCTGTCTTGGTCTCAATGAGGCTGATAGTTAAACACATAAGCAAACATTAACTATAGAGAATATGTGTGTGTGCATAAATATATACTATATATGGCAAAGAATATTTTAAAATTTTAGAAAACATTTAAGAAAAACAAAAAGAAGAAGAAATACAAGTTTGATGAGTAAAACTGAGAAAAAGAGGAACTTTTACTTAAGTAGTTATACACAGGTTTTCTTAAGTCTGCCAAAGGTCCTGATGATATCACTTCTGGTTAATTCAGTGACCAAATTATTGACTAGTAAGATTAACACTGGCTTTCCACAGATGTGATTCCTTCTGTGGAATGAAAAAAACACTTTGTATGAATTGGAAAGATGCTCTATATCTTACTTGTGTACAATTGGCCCATCAATATTATCTTCAGTTTTATCAAACTAGATCAACTTACAAAGAAAAGGATCACTCCCCCCAATTTTATATTTTCTTCCCATATTCAACCTCTCACTTTCTATGAACCTAGTTCCTTACTCTCATTTGTATATGAAAGAAACAGAACCATTATCATTCATGTGTTCCAATCCAGTGTTGATAGAAGGGACATTACAGATCCAGGGGTCTGAGGTAGTGCCTGAAGGCAAACCAAGCTCTCATGTGTTTTGCTTGACCCACACAGTATAGGACAAAGGGAAAAGAATAAGAGAAAGTGAAGGAAAAAAAGAGGGAGGGAGCAAGAAAGTACCTGGAATGTTTTTAGAAAAAGCATAAAATGCCCAGTTTGGCCAGAGCCTCACCATTCCCTAGTGTCTTCCACTGACTCCACCACATATTTTGTCATCTGCTTGGCTCCTAAAGGCAATAATTCTCCACCTAGTCCAAACTTTTCATATTCCAGATGAGGAAACAAGAATCCAAAAACAGTTTATTAACTTGCCTAAGGTAACATAGATGGTTATTAGAAAAGCAACAGTAAGAGTTGTAACTTGGATCCTAGTTCCACATTCTCTTCTTTGAATCTATCATACTCTTCCACAAATTCAATCTAGAGCCTAAAAACACCAAAATGTTGAAAGAAAAAGGAGGAATCAGCATACAAAATGTATATAGAAAGTAAATGATGTATTCCTGTCTCGGTATAAGTTTGTTCCATCTCTTTATGCCCACCCAATCAAAGGTGGCCAGGAAGTTGGAGAATAGGTGAGTCATGTATACAGGTATAAAACTGTATCCAAAGCTAACACTGCAGCAATAGATGAAACGTGATTCAGTTATTAAGGCTGGGACACTGAATTTCTAACAAGTTCTCTCCTTCTTTCTAACATCATATCCCTACATTCAAGTGTACAAAATTGAAAACAGCCTGAATTTCCTGTTATTCTGGTTTTCCTGACCCTTTCTTGGCTATAAATTAGTTTATTTTATACCTCATGACCTTGCACTATGATGTGTTGAATTTAAATTAGAGGAGGGGTAGTTGCTATTCTGCCCAGTTATCAATACAATTCTGTGCGTCTTGAATTTTAGATGCCGAAAGAGTGAATGAACACCTAACCATATTGCCAGAAGACCTTCCAAGTCACTTCTGGTTCTAGATTAAATTCTGTGACTCCCAGGATACCTGGTATGCCCACTGTATACCACATTGAAAACTTTCAGATCATCTACTATGTAGGAATAATATTACAGATCTGTGGGGCAATGAAGTTTTCTAGTTTTTCTGCCAGATCTCTTACTTTGAAGAAGTCTTTCAACCACTCCAATTCTTACAGTGGGGGAATAGACAATCCAAAGCAGGAGTTATCCTTAGAGGGTGACTACATCTGAAAGGCGTCAGGGAAAGAATAAGAGGTGAGTGTAGAGCCTGCAGATGGGATCTCTATTTCCATGGCTGCTCTAGGGTCATCAGACTCAAGGAGAGGCAAGAATTCCTCTTAAGTTTTAAAAGCAAGAAAGCAACATTGACTCTGCTTTTCACATCAGAACTTCAAATTCTTCATATACTATAATAGTACCAAAAATTGTGTTTAAAGTAAAGAAATGAGGAAAAGCTATAAAAAAATGAGAGACTATCATGGGAAAATTATAAAAGCATTTTGCATTTTTATATGCCCACTTCCTTGCTAAATACAACTGAAAGAATTAGTAATGATTACATGTACAGTTATTTAGAAACCAGAGGAATAACTTGTGAGGAAAGACCAAGAATACCTATTACCTTTTCTTTAAGCATGAACTAGACAAGCCATTTTGGGGAAGTAATGGTGGATAGACAAAACCAAAACAAAAGAACTTTAAATTGCATTTTGTCTGGCCGCATAGTAACACAATTCTCAAGTTATTAGGCACAAAACGCTTAAAATAATGAAATTTCATATACAAAATAATGCCACCATACTGTGTTTATTCAGAAACACACATTTTGACGTTAAAGGGAATTATCCTATCTAAGAGTGGTAATTTATACGTGTGAAGTGAAGAACTTCTGATCGTGCTTCATTTCAATATTAGTTCTGTTTTGTTTCCTTCCATAAGCTATTATATAAACTAAATAAACCTGAAAATTAAAATGCTACTTAATAAACAATAAAATAAGTCCTGAAAACCCATGAAAAATTTCAAGTTTCATTTCTTGATTCATTGTTAAAACTATCACTAAAAATTAATAAAAAACAAACTAACTTTTTGCTCTGCTTTATTTGCTCTTGATTATAAATGTTTTCACTACTTTATATTGTTATAACACTAAATTTTAAATTTATTTTAAAATGAATTATCTTTGAATAAAAACTCTTCACTATAATTACTGAAAGCAGTATCGTGGGTATTAAATATAGTACTATAACATTAGTTTGAAATTAACTACTGCATCAAGTCTAATATTAAATAGCCTCTAATACTTAAATAAAGGTTCAAATTAAGGTTAAAGGAGGAGAAGCACTAGGAGAAACATAATGGAAAACAAGATTTTTTTACCGACCTCAAAAATTAAACGCCACTGGTATTATTGCGCACAGTATTTTTCTTGCTTTCAAATGAAAAGTTACAAGTGGTTATTTCTGTATCTAACAGCTCTTGAAACATCAGTAGGCTGATGAAGGTATTCATTCAGAGCAATTATTTTATTCTTGCAGTTTGAATACTGAGAATGTTGACAGTTTGTAACACTGTTGACAGATGGAAACAATAAATAATAACCCTTTCAAAGTCTAGACTCACTAGAAGATAAATTTGCTAATCAAACAATAAATAATAGCCCTTTCAAAATCTAGACTCAGTAGAAGAAAATTTGCTAAACTCCTTGAAAAACCTTCACTTTGCTACAAGTACCAATTATAAATAGTAGCTAACATTTAATGAGTGCTTATGTGCCAAGCACTGATCTTTACTCTTCTTTTTTATCATAGTAATCTGTAATTATTTTGTTTATCGTGCTTCACTGCATTAATCCAGAGGCTCCCTGAGGACAGTCACTTTGTCTAGTTCCTTATGGTAACCCCAGCATTTGGTATGTCTAACATACAGTAGGCACTAAATTAATAAATGAGTCAGTGCTTTAAATGCTTTAAATATTTTTTAAGCTGTTGGTCATGGCCTAAATGGTTAAGAAAATGCAAAAGAACAGAAAGTAGGGTGAATTACATCTAGTAGAATAAATATTCTTTAATGAAACTTTTCTTTTAGTCTATATGTCTATGCCCCATACAAAACATATTTCTTATTTATGGCTAAGATTAAAAAAGAAAGCCTGAAAAATCACTGCTTTATGTGAATTATTTTATTTGCTCCTCACAAGAACCCTGTAGCCAATATCATAACTTCTACTTTAAAGTAAGAGAAATGAGGTTTCTAGATGTTATATATGATGTTCAAGATGATAGAGCTATCTACAAGTATATCACTTCTTCAGCTACTCATAGGGTACTATAGTAATAAAATCTGAATTAACTAAAAAAAGTTTCAGTAATAGTAACTGTAATATGATTAATAAAGAAAAACATAGGCTTTTAAGGCAGACAGGTCTGACTGAATTTAATACCTGGCTCTGCCACTAACTAGCTATGTTGGCTTTGGCCTAACTTAACCTCTTTGTACCTCTATTTTCCCATGTGTAGAAGAGGGACATTCATAAGATTGTAAGTTTTAAGTGATTTAATGTATGTAAATAGCCTAGACTACTAAATAGAAGCTGTTGTGATTAAAATAATTATTAGTGGTTTTTATTCCTGGTCCAATAAATCACATTCAATCCACTACACCATAATTTGAATGTGTAAAAAGAGCGCATCAGGAATTTACTGGATTATAAAGAGAAGTATGGGAACTGGGCAAAACTGGCATTGAGCCGTCCAAGAGTTTCTGCGGGCGCCGGGTAAAAAAGATGCCCAGGAAAGATCAGGCAGTTGGTTCAGGTAACTATGGGAATCAAGGGAAACAACGTTGCTTAAACGTAAAAACAAACACAACTATTTAATCTTTCCACAGCAACATCCATCTTCTTCCTCTGCGTTCTGGCTAGGGCCGAACCAAGGTGTTAGGAAACGCCCCTGGTCAGCTCCCGTCCATTAGGCCCTGCTATCAAGGGGCTAGGGCACAGAGGTTCGGAGCAACTCACCCCGGAGACTCCGTTGATACTGCCCCAGAATCTCCTCCAGGGCAGAGTTCTCCGGGGACTTCGCCATGAACACACTCGGGGCCCAGAGATGGGAGTTGCGTGGGGAAGTGTCCAGTGTTCTCCCCTCGGAGTGCAAGAGGCCTCAGCCCCCGGAAGGGGCCCACCGACTTCCTGCTGCTGCTGTCACTGGGGAGCACAGAATCCCGTACTGAGCTCTCCAGCCTCTTCCCACCCACGGACCCTCGTGGTGGACGTCGGAAGTTGTAGTCCACAGTGTCCGGGCTTACAGTGTCGAAGCTCCTAAGAGCACTACCAATGACACTACAATTCCCAGAGGGCAACGCGCTCCAAGCTCAAGCTTTGGCGATTTGGCGGCAAGTTCCGGTTGCCAAGAGACTCCTTGGAGGCTCCGCCCATTTCTGTAGCCCAGCCAGGCTTAGTCCTGCCTTCATCCCATCCTGCTGTCTGGACCACCTAACTGACAGGAAGGGTTCACTCAAAGCCTTTACTCTTCTAAATTCGCTTATATGCTGTTGATCCTTGAGCCTTCTCAAGAACGCAAATAACAAGCTCAACACCCTTCAGCCGCAACATCTGCCAACACCGCGAAATAAATTCTCAAGAAAAAGAATCTCTGAATCTGCCAAACAGCGTAGATCGTGAAGGCGGCTGACACTACCAATCTTAGCACGCCCAGCGACCCGACCACAGCTTGGAGTTGGCGCACTGCCGGCTGGGAACTGTAGTCCTTGCCGGTTGTGGTCCCAGCTAAAGCCCGGGTCCTCTTCATTGTTGAAGCTGGTCTTTGGTATACGCCTGCGTAGTCGGCAGCTGGAGAAGCCTGTGGGTGAGACACCCCCCCCCCCCGCACAACCCCTTTTCATTGTCTGTGCTTGGCGCTTGCGCAGTAGGAGTTCGCTGGGACTGGGCCGGACCAGGGGTAGGGCTGGGCTCCTCGCCCTCTCCCCGGGCGCCTGCGCACTGGGCGGCCGCTCCTTGCCGTTACCGCTATGTGCGGAGCGTGTGCGGAATAACGTTATTGCCCAGCGGCGCCGAGGGGCCGAGAGCTCGACCGCGGCGGCGGCGACGACGACAGGGTGGGGGAGGACGCTTGCGAGAGACTCACGGGACGCGGTGCGCCCCGCCCCCCCGTCCGGTCCCTCTCAGCAGTGAGGGGTAAGTGATGCGCTCCGATGCCGTCGTCTCCGCCTTTCCACATCCTTCTTTTCGGGTTTGCAGCGGGGGCTCGGGCGCGGCCCGCGGCGGGAGGGGTTGAGGGCCGGCGGCGAGGGGCGCTTCCCTGAGGCTTCGTGTGCCGCCCCCGCCCCGGACCTGGGACTCGGCGGGGGCGCCCCTCCCCCCCACCGCCCCCCAACCCTGCGTCCCCGGGCCCTGCGTGCCGGCTTCCCCTGCAAGTGTCCACGTATTGAGTCGTCTCTGGCTCTCCTGGCTTTGTGCAGCCCCCTCCGCCCCAGCAGTTTGCAGGGGTGCGGGCGGAGCAGCGGAGGGAATGGCTACGCTGCTGCTGGAGAAGGGGTTTTCCCGATCGGAGCAGCTCCCAATGTCGTTTCTTTTCGTGTGGTTGGTTTTGATGTGTGGGGCGGTTTGGGGTGGTCCGGCGAGGAGCCTTTCGGACGCGGTGGGAGGGTGTGGAAGACGTGGTGTCACGCACCCCGCCAGGCGACAGCACCCGCTCAGGCTGTGGCTCTGTAGTAACCCGGGGGAGGAGAGAGTAGCTTCCTGTCGACTTCATTGTCCTGAAATTCAAATGTGGGCTTTGGTATGGGTCCCTTCATTTTATGTAAGGAAAAGAAAAATTAGCAGCTGCCTAACAAGGGGCGGGAAGATGTGGGATTTGTACCCTAAGTCATAGTATCTGTTTTTTTAGTGTTTAGCGGAGTTTTACTTGGAGAATGTAAGCTCCTGGAAGACAAGGACAGTACCTGTCCAAGCATTGCCAAGGTGATCCATATAAAATTACTAGCTCACGATGAAGAATGGACCAGGAAGGGCCTGACGACGAAGCTGTTTGTGTAGCAGGAAAATGAACCAGCAGAATGTTTTTTCATAGGGTGGGTAACGCATTCACGTGCCTAAGGGAGTAGGTTAGGATACATCCTTCCGTTTTGTTTTTTAAGCATTCAAAATCAAACATAGGCCTGGTACATTTCTGTTTCTGAATTTTTTATTCATATTTTTATTCTCTTAATGAAAATTCATCCAGTTGGGAGAAATGTGGTGAAGCAGATAACATACTTGATTGAAAATGCATCTTTTAAAATGATTTGATTATTAAGCTTACAACCGTTTGCTGGCATTAAAACAAGCAAAAGAGAGATTGAAGCCGGATGGGGAGGAGCAGGTGGAGGAATGATGTGAGAGGAGAAAGTGACATTATGAATACGGTATCCAGATCTTCACTGATATAACCCTGGCTGGATATGCCGCAATGATTTAGGAATTCAGCTCTGGAAATATTACATTGCAAGTTACAAACCATTTTGTATTTTTCTGCCATTGTTTTTTAAAAAGTAAAACCAGTGCTGCTTTTACTTTTTCCTAACTTTGCAAATATTGTAGAATTTTGGTGTTTTAAAACTGAAGAGTCTAAATGCATTTGACAGAGAAAGAGGAAGACACTAAAACTTGGAAAGTTAACTGACTTGGCTGTCCAAGCCAAACTGCTAATGAAAGGCAGAGTTCAATAAAACCAAGGTTTCTTCTGCAATGTGCTCTTTTCAGCTGTGTCCCCTAGTCCCCCTACCCTGTGAAAATTTATGGAAAGCTTCTCTGCATGCTCTTTGAGTTGTCTGTGACAATCAAGTTCATTGATACCTCATAGTTGTATTAGTCTAGTCTTTTTCTTTTGATGTGAAAGTAATAATTCTAATGAAGTGGAACTATAATTTTATAAATTAACTTACTGATATAGGAAGAGATGTCTTAACATGGGCTTTTCATAAAAATGGAAACTGTTGGAATTTTTTCCCTTCTTATCAGTAACCATATTTTAATAATATTTTTAGCTATTCGGTAGTATTTTATAATATGATCAACTCTATAAACTCTGAAAAATGAAATTGCTACATAACAAGAACCCATGAAGTTCAGTTTTCTTCAATTAATGAATTTTATTATTTTCAACTTAAAAAAGTTTACTTTTTGAGGAAAAAATTCATGTTTAACTTTTTTATTAAAATTGAATTTGTGCTCTTTTATTAAGTTGATTTTGCCATAAAGTGCTTTTTTGTTTTCTTATACTTTTTATCCCTTAATTCCACATTGTATTTTAATCGACGTTTTTTTAATAGATCTTTATTGGAGTATAATTGCTTCACAATACTGTGTTAGTTTCTGTTGTACAACAAAGTGAATCAGCCATATGCATACATACATCCCCATATCCCCTCCCTCTTGAGCCTCATTCCCACCCTCCCTATCCCACCTCTGTAGGTCATTGCAAAGCACCAAGCTGATCTCCCTGCGCTATGCTGCTGCTTCCCACTGGCTAACTATTTTACATTCAGTAGTGTATATATGTCGATGCTACTCTCACTTTGCCCCAGCTTTGCCCTCCCGCCCCCACTCCCCCGTGTCCTCAAGTCCATTTTCTATGTCTGCATCTTCATTCCTGCCCTGCCACTAGGTTCATCAGTACCATTTTTTTTTTTAGATTCCGTATATATGTGTTAGCATATGGTATTTGTTTTTCTCTTTCTGACTTACTTCACTCTGTATGACAGACTCTAGGTCCGTCCACCTCACTACAAATAACTCAATTTCATTTCTTTTTATGGCAGAGTAATATTACAATGTACATATGCGCCACATCTTCTATATCCATTCATCTGTCGATGGGCATTTAGGTTGGTCCCACGTCCTGGCTGTTGTACATAGTGCTGCAGTGAACAGTGTGGTACATGTCTCTTTTTTTGTTTGTTTTTAAAATTTATTTATTTTATTTTATTTTTGGCTGTGTTGGGTCTTCATTTCTGTGCGAGGGCTTTCTCTAGTTCCTGCGAGCGGGGGCCACTCTTCATCGCGGTGCGCGGGCCTCTCACTGTCGCGGAGCACATGCTGCAGACATGCAGGCTCAGTAGTTGTGGCTCACGGGCCCAGTTGCTCCGTGGCATGTGGGATCTTCCCAGACCAGGGCTCGAACCCGTGTCCCCTGCATTGGCAGGCAGATTCTCAACCATTGCACCACCAGGGAAGCCCACATGTCTCTTTTTGAATTATGGTTTTCTCAGGGTGTATGCCCAGTAATGGGATTGCTGGGTCATATGGTAGTTCTGTTTTTAGTTGTATTTTTTTTTTTTTGCGGTACGCAGGCCTCTCACTGTTGTGGCATCTCCCGTTGCGGAGCACAGGCTCTGGACGCGCAGGCTCAGCAGCCATGGCTCACAGGCCTACCCGCTCCACGGCATGTGGGATCCTCCTGGACCGGGGCACGAACCCGTGTCCCCTGCATCGGCAGGTGGACTCTCAACCACTGCGCCACCAGGGAAAGCCCTTTAGTTGTATTTTAATAGACTTTTAAAAAAAGAAGTAGTATATTTCTTAAATTTCAATTTACTTAAAAAATAATCTGTGGAAACCATGTGGAATTATATTAAATCAAACTTGAAATGTATTTTACTGTTAAATTTCATGGTGTGCTAAAATTACTTTGTATGGAAGTAAATAACCATCTGCATGTTTTCCAACTTTACACTGTAAAATTATCATGCGTTATGTCTATTAATGTAAATATCAAGGTGCTTTTAAAAATTCTATGCTTAGGGATTTATTTGTTACAAGTATCAGTTTGTTGTTTCATTTTATCACTTTAGAAAAACCCCAAAAAACTAGTTTTATTGGGCTTCCCTGGTGGCGCAGTGGTTGAGAGTCCGCCTGCCGATGCAGGGGACACGGATTCGTGCCCTGGTCCGGGAGGATCCCACATGCCGCGGAGCGGCTGGGCCAGTGAGCCGTGGCCGCTGGGCCTGTGCGTCCGGAGCCTGTGCTCCGCAACGGGAGAGGCCACCTTTGTTGTTTCCTATTTTGTTTTTTGAAAAATTTGTCTGGAAATCACTGATGTAGGCAACATAAACCCGCATCTTTTGTATGTTAAGATTTTTCCCATTCTGTATATACATGTAGATGATGTTTTTAAGCAATATGTACCTTTAACCCTTTTAAATATCATCTACTTGAGTGTAGTTAAAAGTTGAAATCTTTTTTTAAATTTTATTATTTTTGGCTGCGTTGGGTCTTCATTGCTGCGCACAGGCTTTCTCTAGTTGTGGCGAGTGGGGGCTACTCTTTGTTGTGATGCGTGGGCTTCTCATTTCGATGGCTTCTCTTGTTGCGGAGCACGGGCTCTAGAGCGCAGGCCCAGTAGTTGTGGCGCACGGGTTTAGTTGCTCAGTGGCATGTGGGATCTTCCCGGACCAGGGCTCGAGCCTGTGTCCCCTGCTTTGGCAAGCGGATTCTTAACCACTGCGCCACCAGGGAAGTCCTTGAAACCTTCTTAAATAATGATTCTGTCATCCAAGGGATTAGCTTCTCTTCCTGGCTTTTTGACATTTATAAATTTAACAAGCAAGCCCTCTTATGTCTTCATCTTGTGCGTGTATTGGATATAGCCAAGGACATACCATGCAAATTTATAAATAGAATAAAAGTTACATAGATAAACTATGCTGGAGGAAAAAGGTGACAAAAAGATACTGAAAACCATTTCAATGTTTTGTTTTTAGTTAAGGAGAAAATCATTATATTCTCTAATACTAAGGGAGTTGGTTGAAGCTTACTGTCTGGTGGAGATGTGGATAATTATATAATTATATTATATGAAGTCAAGTAAGCGTAGATGCTGTGAGTAAAAATAAATTAGAGTAAAGGGATAGAGAGTGGTGGACTGCTATTTTTTATTTACTTTTAAGTAGTCATTCAAATAACACATTAAAATTGTTCAAAAAAAATCAAACAATATTTTAAAAACAAACAATGTGAAAAATCCTCCCACCCATCTACCTTATCTGCTGAGTTAATAGGTAACTTTTCATGTATCTTTCCAGTGAATTTGTTTTCAATTTAAGTAAATACAGTATATATTTTTAACCTACTTACCTCTTTTTACACTAAAGATAGCCTCTTTATACAAAAAAGAGGCATCTAGAGAGCTACTATTT